CGTGCACTATACGTGGGACGAGTCCCAAGGTGGCGTTGGAGCGATTCATGCGCGCATTGAAATTCCCTCCGATCTGACTGAGACCGAGTAGCCGATTTTTATCGAGTACACGCGAGTGGTTACCGGACAGAAGTCATAAACCGCATTCGATATCGAAGAACGGTCGAACACACGCGGAATAAAAAGTACTCGACCAGACGCGCATTCGCGATACTTCGATCGGACGAGAGAGAAACTATTCGAACACTGTGTGGTTCTTTCAATGAGCGAAATGAAGAGGAAAAAAACCCGTTGATAAAACGTCAAGAAGAACGAACGAGTGTTTTGCGTAATAATATTTAATGGCGGCCGCACTAGAGCCCGCATGCTGCGCCGCGCGTCTGTATAATACCGCGACAACCGATAAAGCACGACTCTCGTACGTAATGCTCGAAATTCTTGCGTGTCTGGAGCAGTGTCACACCTCGTTGTGCGGATAACAGAAGGCTGATAATTTATCATTCATATTTCACGACCGAATGTCCAACTCGATTTATTGATCGGAGGTACACACACCGAATGCATTTTACACGCGGAAATACCATTTGGAAATTTGATATTTTCGCACATTCCTATTTTGTCTCGTCTGCAGCGGAGCGTGGGTCATCGTCCCAGGACTCTTCTATCGATTTGTTAAAGTATCGCTAAATTCAGCAAAACCATCGGATTTCTACGGTATTGTCCTACGTGACTGAAGAATTGATGCGTTCGATTGAATTCGCGAGCTCATTTCACGCGCTGCAGGAGCGAGCCTATGTACTCGATATTTTTATACACGTTGTTTGTAACGCGCTGTTCTTTTATAACCGGAGGCCGACGGCCGTCCAAGCGTCTCTCTCTCTCTCTCTCTCTCTCTCTCTCTCTGGTTGTTATTTTTTTTTTATCCGCAACACTTTATCGGATATAGATTATCGGCTCAATACGCTCAACGATCGATCGCTTTGAAAGTCACGTGAAGCGTCCGTCATTCAAAGTCCGGCGACGGCGACGATCCGACACGCGCCTCGTCCTTTTGAAACTTATTGTAGCGTGTGCTCATGACGAATACATTGCTTCGACACACACCGTTCGCTTCTCTCGTTTTTACCGTTTCGTGAATATCCGTGCGATTCGAGTGCTCGGTCAAGCGAGGCTCTAAAACAAGCCTGACGAAGACACGTACGACATTTCACAGAGCATTTAATGTAACGTTAAAACTTTGATAGTTTAGACGCGATATTTTATTTTTCGTATTCACGCAATTGTAAACCGTTAGCTCGTCTGACAAACTTCAATTTCATAAATTATTTAATTCGCGAGAGGTGATATTTTACGATTAAATATATAGTGCAGATGCGAAAAGAAGAAAATTAATTTAAAAGAAAAATTTGTCGAGTGAGAAATAAAACTCAGAATAAAATGTAAGTAATCAAGTGTTACGCGCTGAGAAAGATATCTGAAAATGGACGAATGAAAACATTCTGATTATATATCAATCAGAATTCCGGTTATCTCAATTAGAATCCTAGTAGATTTAATCTCAGAAAACTCTAATTCGTCCATTTTCAACTAGAATTCCAATTAATCAAACCAGACATTTTTCAATCAAGGCGGTTCTTCGTGCCTAATAATATTTCTTGCGAATTTTTCTCAGTGTAGTACTAGAAAAATTTATAACGCATAGAAAATATGTGCAAGTGGAGTCTTAGTTAAAGCAGGAGACTAACAGTACTATTACAGAGAAAGAAAACAGCAAATGTTCTATCAAGAAGTTGCGCGCGGCAGCAGTGATGGCTGAGTTGATCGCAAAATAATCATTCAGCGGCTTAAGGACGCTCTCACCGACTACCTGTGGACCAACAAACTTCGGATTCTCTCTCTCTCTCTCTCTCTCTCTCTCTCTCTCTC